AAAATTTTTTTTTAGGTTTTATACATTTTAAATAACCAAAAAATCATAAATTACTATATCAATACCATAGAATTCCACTGCAATTTATCAAGTGCAGTAACTAAGCTGTATTTGGGTCTAAAAAAATAAGAAATTCCAAGCTCACTAAAGACTTACCTTATCATTTGAAATCTTGTGCGAAAAGAACGAAATTAATACAATAACACATCAAAATGGCTGAGAAAACCACTAGGGGAACATTCTGGGCTTTCGATTGGTTATTCATGATATATAGAGAAATAAGTGTATATAAGGGACCATTTCCAAAAATGGAAAGAGGTGGGTGGGTGGGCCACTTTGTTTGATTCAATACATGAGCAATATCGTAGCAAATAGAAAAGATAGAGGTTCTTATTTTATATTCTAGCTTGTCAATATTGGTATAGAGGGCTGATGAAAAAATAGAAAATGGGAAAGTCAGAGTGAACAGATATCATATTACACAGAGAAGGGGAGATTGAGAATTTATTTAAAAATAGAATTAAGGAAGTAAAACTTTTATTAAAATTAATAAATAATTATTAATATTAAGTATTTAATATTATTTATTAATGTTAAAATTTGACTTAGTAACTACATTTGGATGCCAAATTTATCCATGTAGTTTTGCATGTTTGTATATTATCAAATGTTTAAACATTTTTGAAATAATAAGCTTTTATTGTATTAATAACTAGACAATCACAGTATGTACCAAGCATCCACATGCTTCTTCAGGTGGACTGAAGAATGCTCCTGCTCGAACATCAATAGATCTAGCTCTGGACCTTCAAGCATCTCATACTCAGCTGACACACTTGCAAAGTGAACTCTCTAGGCTACGAGAAATAAAACGAAAACTTGAGGAGGCGAAGGCAACAAGTAAGCAAGAATTATTAGATTGTAGTATTTCAGGTTCTTGGGTATTATTAATATATAATATGTCCAGTATAAAAGATATATTTTATCAACTGAGATCAACAGAACTTTCACAAAACCTGTAAAAAGGGTTTGTTGTTTGGAGAACAGTCTTCTTTCTTTGTGTTTAAGTACCAGTGATTTTGTAAATCAATAATTTCTGTTTTTAATAAAATGAACTAGACAGGCCACTTATTTTGGTTGTACTCTACCAGATGAATTTTCAAACTATAAAAATGCTGTTGAGTAGTCGTTGAGAAATATTATGTGGATTATGACTTGCACCTAAAGTATGACTGGCTTAGAAACTGTGTGTTTCCAAGAAGCTATATCATCATTAGCTGCTGTTTATTTGTCAATATATATATATGTGTGTGTGTGTGTGTGCAGAATGATGTGGTGCTTACATAGATATAGATATTTAAACATATGTATATTTTGTTGTTCTCGTGCTGTCCAATAGGTGGGGGTGTTATGCCTTCTTGGTTACTAGAAAACAATCATATGCAACAAGTGTTATCAAGCGTCATAACAGAGGTGAGTTGAAAAATTAATTATATTCTACAAATCTAAAAGAAAAATAATTAAAAAAATAAAGCACAAGAAAGCCATACAGACAGACACACACACACACACACAGAAAATCCTTTCAGTTTCATGCGTAAGAAATTATACTCTTTTATTTTGTATAAGCTATAAGAAAACTCGTGTCAGAAACTGTCATCAGGAGTCAGAAAATGCCATCAAACAGAACAAGTCTATTCTCGGCCACAACTTAGTAGTCTTTTAAAAATCACAAGCTATCAAAAGAGTAATTTAGGTCATTAATGTTTGCTTGACTCTGATTTTCTTAAACACTTACCATTTAGTGTTTCTAAAATTGTTTAACAAATATTGTTTGACTAAATCTGTTATATACATCCAAACAATACTTTCTTAAGATGCCTAAAACACAAAATAACCAAAGTAAACAGCCATTAAAGATTTATATCAATATGTTGTTGTTAACATCTCAATTAATAAAGTCCCAGTTTTGAATAAGTCTGAGTACTAACTAAATAGATAATTGAGTATATAGTTATTGGCTATGTGATGGATATTTTCAAGAACTGGCAAAGATTTCCCATTTAGTTCTTTTAATAAATTTTTATCTCTGTAGTATAGATTATAAATTTAATGACATTTCTGATTCATACCCTGAGTTTTATAACTTTATTTATTGTAATTCCTCTCGGAAACAAAGGGCAGTAGAATATAATATACAAAATTTTTTCATGTGTATTCATTTTGCTATCAGCTATTTTTCCCAAACCTTTATGGACATTAACAGCAAAGTTACATTAATCCTTTCCTCACGGATCAAAGGCCATGTCATTGCATTTGTTGACTCACATTCAAAATTTTATTTAACTACTATTTTATGAATTTATGTCATTAAGTTTGGTATAAAACTGCAGATTATAATTAAAATTTTAGTATTATATATTATTTAATTTCTTAATTTAAAAGTAAATGTTAAAAAAAACACATCTAAATCGATTTATGTGTGTCACATGGTATGTTAAATGCAGCACTGGTTCAGATTAGATGTTTGTGAAGTTTAGATACAAATTCTATAGTTTTGTATGAATTAGGAACTCAAATTCACTGCCACGCATCATAACATGCCTCGCTTGCCAGTGGACTTGGCAGACATATAAGAGTACACCTCATGTGATCATAAATTTACATAATCTTCTGCTACATTAATAGTATCTGTAAGTCACCACTAGGAAGCTGGTGTCAGTTTCATCATACATATTTACTCAAAATACAAATTATTAGCTAGATGAGTTAGCGTTTTAATGAAACTAAAAATTCGTAGATAAAGTAAATGATAGAAGGAAATAATAAATGAACGATAAACACAACTATAATCATAAAAAAAATAAAAGTTATCTCACAACTGAACTTTGAATAACACTTCTAAATCAATAGTAAACTTGGTTAATAATCTTATTTATTTCTGTAAAAAAAAACTTTTCATTTCTGGATTATAATAAATGTGTTGTTCACTAATAGCTAATAAAATAAATTGCAAGAAACATTGTGTGTTGGTATTAAGAATTTTGGTTCTTTGTAAAGTTCCATTTTTCACAGTTTTTAAAACAATTTAAATTATGCATCATATACCATGGCAGGGTATATTTTTTGTCTTAAAATTGAATGAAATATGTTTGTAAGTCTTACAGATGTTTTTAAAAAGATACATTTTCCTACTTTGCTCTCTAGCAAACCTAAAAAGAAGTCATGGTCACAAAAAATAGCAATTTTTTTTTATTTATTACCAAACTTTTTGAAGTAACTTTACAGCCTTAATACTTGTATTTTTTGTAATTTAGTTTGTATTTCATCTTTCAAGTATTTTAAAAAACACATCCTTTCTTTTAGTTTTTATATGAAGTGCTCATCTTTATGGAACTTTATAAAGTTTTGAAAATACTTTTAGATATGTACATTATTAGTCTGATATGTTTTTCATTATATCCTTTGTTCGCTTAGGATATGAATCTTCTAAGATGGTCAAATGTCATTTCAATGGCTGAAAATATTTTTAATAGCAAGATACCCAACTGATGAATGAGTGCATTCTACTCATTATAAGTTTTATGACATTGTATACTCCTAGTTAGATTGATATGTTAATAATAAGCTGCATTATTTACTGGATTAGGTTTTAGTTTTCATTTGTATATGTAACTTGCTTGGATCAGAAATTATTGTTTTGCCATATTTCAGATATGCTTTAGAAGACGGCTTACTACACGTTGGAGTTGAACGAGCCAGAAATTTGATGGCATTGTTTGTTCCTGATAACTACAAAGTGTAAGTTCCATTACTGTGTTTTAGTCATTTTTAAGCTTATTGTTGAAGTATCTTAATGTTGGGTTTTTGTAGAGTTACAGTTTTTGCTTTGTTGCATCTGTTTTAATAAATAAGTATTGTATACTAACTCCTCTTACATAAGATTGAATATATCAGTTATCACTTTCTATGATGAATAAAATTTTACTTTTCTAAATATTCATTATCTAATTTCCAGTAATATGCATACGTAATTTTATCTTTTCACAAATTTCTTCAAGAAGCAACTTTAAGAAAAGTTAAACTGTGCACATATATAAAACTGCCATAATCTTTTTGTTTTAAATCCTATAAACTTGAAATAATTGTCATTTTGATGCATTTTGTACAAGGTATCATGGTAAACCATAGAAAATAACTCAGGAGTTCTGGCAAGCATATTAAAATATAAAATGCTTTTGATACTTCCTATATAGATCATAGTGTTTGGTAGACAGAAAATTAATTTGAATTTAATAGCTAAAACATCATGTTACCCTCTTCCAAGAGGAATAAAGTCAATAATATAATGCAATAGTAAAAGATTTGAGGAATGTGTTAATTTGTCACACAAATTAGCTTCGTTTGTACTTTTAAAAGTGTATAGATTTTAGTGAAATTAATAGTAATATTTAAGTTTCTAGGATCAGATATTAACGTACCAAAAACTGATAACATCATGTGACTTGCTTTCTCAACCAAGTTTCTTCCTATGTTTTTATCTTCAGCTAAATTTTTATTATACTACTAAAAGATATATTGAAACATTTTCTTTCAGATACATCAAAGTAAGCTTGTTGCCTGGATCGTCAGACGCCCTGCAGAAGGACAGCACCAAGTTTTTAGAAAGTCTGAGAAAACCAACTATTGGTGAAAATTTTAGGTTTCCCATATCTATGCCCAAGTTATATACCAAAACATTACAAGTCAGTGTTTGCTGTGTAGCCCCTTCGGGAGAAGAGGAATATCTGGTACTCTTTTTTGTACTGTAGAATAAATATATAAGAAAATCTTTGAAGTAGGCAATAAAAAACTTCAATTATTTCAATATTTTGTTACTTGTTTTTAGACATAATAGTATGTTTCATGATTAAACTTGTATTGGTAATTTTGTTTCTATAAGAGGTCATTGTTTACAGTCTGGACTAATATTTGTTGTAGCAAATTCCTGATGCTATAACAGTACAAATAAATATTTAGAAATAAAGTAAATGAACTGGTATTATAATGTTTTCCTGTTATTAAACTGATGGTTTTGTCAAAGCAAAAAATTTCAAGAATTTGCTATTATTTCTGCAGGATCAAGAGCCAGTCCTGTCATTTAGAGTGATAAAAAAATAAATTCCAACCACCTTGATTAACTGCTTTGAACTTTAGGTTAAATAAAAAGGAACAAACCCATATAAATGCATACCATAAATGGAAACTTTAAGCATATATTTGAGGAAATGTGCTAGTCAAATGCAGTTCATAAAGTTTAGTCAGTCAAACCTGTATACCTGAAATAGGTGGGCCAAAAGAATGGAAAGAATTAGCAAAAATTACACTTCTATTCTTTAAAAAAAATTTAGTTGAACTAAAATAATTAAATTCACAATTAATTAATATTCAAATGTATGATGAATCTCCAGTGGTCCTTATGTTATAAAAAATGTGAAGCTTGAATTTCAAGAAATGAAGTAAAAAGAAAAACGTTTTAAGGACTAATAAAACTAAAAAGAAACAAAAAACCAAACACTATTTTGAAATTTGTTTTCTGTAAAATAAAAAATATTCATGCATAATTAGTATTGTTAGAAAGCTGTATCTTGCTTTATTGATTGATATATTATGAAGTATTAAAACACCTATGACATGTGCTTAATTTTTTTTCAGTATTTAAGGTTAAAGCACACAATTGTTAGTACAAATACTGAGTTTCTTTATGTGCAAAGTTTTTCTGGCATGTAGAGATATTTTGTTCTCAATTATAAATATGAAAAATTTTGACATTCATAAGCTTCTTGGGGACCAAATATTTGTTTCTGTTTTTACTTATGTATAACACAGTTGATTGCTATACTAGAATATGTATATAAGTTATAATATTTAAGAGGAATTCTCTTTTATCAATGGTTAATTTTATAGGGTGGTGCTCAAGTGAGTCTTGCAGACTTCAATCCAGATATCACCATTACAAAGTGGTACAATGTGCTCAATTTTAGTTTTCTGCAACCAGAATCATTGCATGAGAAAAATCAGAAGGTCAGTAGTAGTAGTAGGAATTATGGGCTTTGGTGTTTTCTTTGTAAATAAAGGTATTTTTCTTATTGTGCTGCTATAGTATTCAGTTTTGAAAAATGTGACATTTCAGTTTATAATTATTCTTATGGTCTGATTTAATTGATATACACCAGTACCATTTTCTAAAAACCTAATATTTTCATTACTGGTTATTCTTAGAATCTCTCTGAAGTTAATAATTTTGTATTACTTTTAACTTTATTTTATAGATAAGATCAATCTGATTTAAGTAAATCTTTATACACCCAGGTTTTCGTCTTGAAAGAAGAAAGTAGTGATGAGTCAACCATAATTTCATCCCAGACTTCAACACTAACGAGAAATCAAGGTGCAGATTTATGATTTACCTAAAACTAAGGAAAAATATTAGATTTTTTTTAAATATTTTTTTATACTTTATTAAACAAAAGTAGTTAGGTTAATCAATGTTTTCTTTTAATTTGTAATACTAAAATGAATAGTGTTAACTTTTTATTGGATATTTAAAAAAATACCCATATTCAAGAATTGGAAGCATTACATAGATGTTGGAATTCAAAACACTTTAAGATCACAAATTCTTCAACTTAATCAGTTTTGAATTCGATGATGAGGAACCCACTTTAAGACTAATAATGCTTGGAGATGGCTTGAATGGGTAATGAATAAAACTTAATATTCAAGTTTTTCTTTATTACCCATTCAAGCCATCTCCAAGCATTATTATCTTAATCAATTATTTAACAATGAACAGTTATACTCTCCAAACAAAATGACAAAACATTTTTGTAATAGGTCATTGAAAACAAAAACATAAAATTGTAACAAAAATTAGGAAATTGTTTATCTCGCAAACAAAAATAAATCAAAAATGAAATTGGAAACCATGTGGCATCCCTAAAATAAAATAAATGTGGGAGAAGTCTGTATTTTTTTCAGAATTTTGTTAAGTTTTTTTAACAAACCTAAGTTTAATTATGTGGAAAGTGTTGTGATAGGCTTATTATTGTTATTTATTTAAGATCCAAATATAGTAGAATATGATGCCTTAGTAACGGGAGATGATGATGATGATGGTGATGAAGAAAGTGATGATGAGGAAGAAAATTTAGAGGAAGAATGTAAAGATGTTGTATATACAACAGAGTACCAAGAGTCACAGTATGCTGGAGATGATGAATGTGAGGTATATTTTTTTATTTTACTTTGTAAATAGTCATGTACAAGCATTTTTCAATTGTTAACCTGAGTGAGTTGCATGGTGATATCAATGCTTTATAACTCATAAAAAGAATTAAAGAAATATATTCATGGATTAATATTTGATAGAGAAATAATATTTACAGATATTGTTCTTTTTTAACATTCATTTCTTTATAATAATAGCTGTCTGGTTATGTTCATATATATATATGTTCTTTTCCTTCTTACTTTATGAGAAACATATAACTTGCATTGTTTAACTAAATGGTAAAACTACCTACTGTTTATGATTTTATCAGGAGGATGTGTGCGAGGAATGTTTAGCTGAGAGGCTAACTCAACAGGTAGAGCTGTGTGATAAAGAAACCAATACCGAATGTGTTTTTCCTCCTTTTCGGGGGAAACAGAACCAAACCGAAGATACTACTTCAAGAACCAGTGTTATCAAAAGATCCCAGACTTTCACTCCTAGTGTTGCTGTTAACAAAAATCAGTATATTTGTAGAGTAAGTGTAATTTATTTCTGCTCAGGTTGTTTTGTTACAGTTTGTTAAATCTTACTAGAAATAAGAGCAAGGATCTTAATCTTCTCATAATATTGACATTCACTAGTACTAGTATTAAACTCATGAAATTGCATTCTCTCAACTATAATTACAAAAAAATAATAGCATTACTCAATTTTTGGTTCATATGATATAAAAAAAAATGCATATAAAATTTTTTTTTCTGGGAAAAAAATTTCAAATAGCATTTTAATTTCTTAACTTCTAAATTGATATTTTCAGTGTAAACGTGAACAAGTACTTTTGAAATTTGTTTTGAAAAAAATAAAATTATCTTTAATATACACACTTTATTTTCACTTTGTAGTTAAACAGAAGTGACAGTGATAGTTCTATGCCACTGTATAGAAAAGGAACCACATTCCAACGGAATTCTGCCAGGCGTCAAAGTCTCAGATTGAAGAAGGTTAGTAAATGAAACTAAATTTTAATACTGTGCAGGTAGTTACCACCAATGTTTCCATCAAAGTGTCTTTGGATAAACTAATCTTGCATAAAAGCATGCTTGCTGTGTATAATATTGAACTATGATTATAGTGTCATTCAATAAAATTTGCAATAAATCTAAGTTACCCCTTTTCTTTCTAGAATGAATGCAGATTATAATATAAAATGACAAATATTATTAATCCTAAACTAATGGCTCATAACAGTTTGCATCTCTTTTTAATTTTACTGTTTTATTGGTTTTTTTGAACTGTTTCTAACTAATATTCCCATAATACAAGTTGTAAATCACACTGTGAACATGTAGCTTAAGTTATGGTATTTAATGATGTAAAGGACAAGCTACTCATGAGCTAGTTGTGAGTATACCTTGTGGAGAAATTATTTTATTATATTACATTATCTAACCTAATATTTTCTAGTTTTTACACTTTAGTTACTTTTATAAAAATAAATAAAAAAATGTAAATAAAAACGAGAAATTTAGTACCTATGTTTGCCTTTTTTTTTCTGTTGACCTATTGATGAAAGTTAAGCCTACCTTTTTTAGTAATGGTACTAGTACATCAAAAAATGTTTTTTTTTTTCAAACATGTACACAAAATAATAGTAGACAATCTCCTAAAATTATTGTAATTTAACTGGCTTGCTAACTAAGGTGTAAGTGCCTTGTAGTGATTCCTTTAGCTGTTTGATCTGAACTCAGAAAGAGTAACTTTCAAGCTGTTGGCAAAATAATTAAAAAATTTTACTGAAAACAAGGTAACCTTAAATGTCATTCTGTAAGTTAAAGCTTTGCCTTTCTTTTGGTTTTAATGATGTAATAGCAAAAATATCACAGAGAATTATTGGTACTTGTGAAAGAAAGGGTGTCATAAGAGAACATTGCAAGTAGGTCTGACTTTGTGGTTTATAAATCTGTAAACAAAGAACATTGAAGGTTATAAAAATTAGAGTATGTCAAAGCCGCAAGGAAGCTGTCGC